CACCCACTAAGCAGAGGTGGGCCATTGCTGGCGGGCTATACTTAATCTTCATGCTAATGCTCCGTCAGTGAAAATGATTTGAACTTTTACGGCTACAAGAGGACAGTTCACTCGTTGGCAAGACGTACTGCTCGCTTGGCCGCCCAACCGCACTTTGCGTTTTAATGAGCCTTGTTTGAAAGGATGAGAAGCGTTAGTCGGTTAATATGTGAAGAACTGTGCGTGTGTATGGAGTGGCTGGAAGGGAACGGAAGAGGCCAACGGAGTAAGTCAGTCTAGAAGATCACCATTGCTGCAGTCTGCGTCTGTTTGAATTTCAGTAGATTCGAACACTATATTGATTATCAGGAGCTGAAAATGATGCAAAACGTTTTTGTGGGCAAAGTTACTGGAATATCTTCTGAAACAGCCCATTTCTAGTACCCGAAGCGACGACAACATTGAAGCTATCAAAAAGCGCTTAAAAGTCTATCAAACGTTCAGCGCTCCGCTAGTCGACTATTACGCAAAGAAAAGAAAGCTTGTGAAGGTGGAAAATCTTTCTTTGTTGTTGAAGGTGCAAAAAACTGCCATGTCTAGTCTAGCAAAGTTTGCGGGACAAATAAAAAAAGCACATTTCCTTCAAGGCGGACCTAGCTACTACCAACGTAGGGAGTTAGTGCTTTCTCCTACTGAAGCATAGCCGATTGTTGAGGTCAGTCGGTGGCTTTAGATCTCCAATAAGTCGAGAGCCACAGAGAGAGTTTAATTAGTCCTGATGATTTCGGAGAATGCCGCACTTCTGTAAAGTCGAGTTCTTTACACTAGTATTTGGAACGAATGTGAAGGTAATGGGATAAAGAAGCACCGGTAATTTGTATTTTGCAGATTGAATCAGAAGGCAGTCCAGAGCATATATTCAGCGTTGTCGAAAAGCACCTCGATAAAATTATGGCAAAGAACTGAAGTACTGCAAACAAGTCTTCTTGTAATGAGCTGTAATGCAGTAATGCTAATGGTTAAAAAAAAAAACAGTGCGCTTTTTCTTCAGCATGAAAACCACACTCACACTATATACACATACATGCGCACACAGGCAACTCTTCGGCGATATATATATATATATATTTTTTTTTGCATTGCACAAGTGAAAAAAATGCATAAAAATGTGTTTACTTCACAGAGTAATTCAAAAATTAGCAAAATAACTGGTGCCGATTGCGACAACGTTAACCTACTCCTAATCAATGATACACTACATCTACTTTGGGGCTGCTGCTGATAATAAGCGTTACTTTGGGCTTTTGGTTGTTGCCGTTATCACTGTCAGCCTCATTAGTATCATCAATATTATTACCACTGTGAGTAGCATTGCGATTAGAAATAGCAGGAAAATGCTAAATTGCACTTACTATATCGTTCGTTAATTCTAGCTCCAGTGTTGTTTTGCGTTTAGCTCAAACGGCACTGCCAAGTCCTGCGGATCTGTATTTTCTTTCGGAATTGTTTGTTGCACAGGCAGGTTATCAGATGTTTCCATCTCAATCATTTGTTGATCAGCGCGATATCGAACTGCTTTGTCTCTTCTCGGGACATTCCAAGCTGGCACCATCATGTAGGAATATGCGTTCCATGCATGATACTTAAATTTTTCTTGGAAGAGTAGAAAAGGTTTTTTATAAGAATGAAATGTATGATCCAGGAGTCTAAAAGGAATGGAAGGAAAGGGCTACTTCTTGTTTAAAATTTTTTTAAAGTACTGTTTTTCTTTCCTAGAAGGTGCTGTTCCAGTACAATAAAGAAGCGACCAGTGCATTAGTGAGTAACGAATTCAATTTTCTGCGCTTAAAATAGAAAACCCAGGCTGGAACGCACCAGGCGAGCCGGTACGATCATGCGTTTCTGCATCAAACTTTGAGGTACTCCATCATATTTCCCTGCCCTTGCCCCACCCCTCCACTCGATGTTTCCGCTCTTCCCTCGCCCCCGCGCTGAACACCGGTCTTCTCGAAGCGGTGATATTGTGCTACATTACACAGCGCGATTCAAAGAAGTATTCTGTGGGTACAGTAGGATGAGATATATGTAGTGCACAGACGCCAGTGAGCGGTCTAACGCTGCTCACTGTGGCGTTATGTGTGGGATGGGGGTGGTTGGATGGTTCATGGGGTTATGTGTGGCGTGTTGGCGGTTCAAGATGTTCATGATGGGGAGGGGGGGAGGAAAGTGTTGGGGAGGTGGCTGGTGTTTGGGGGGCGATTGGTGTTGGAGGGTGCCCGGTGTTGGGGACGCTCGGTGTTGGGTGGAGAGGGGGAGAGGGGTCGGCGTTCTTTCGGTTCTCGTTTGTGCTTGGCATTTGCAGATATTCAGGGAGAGGGGCGCCATTTGCAACTGCTCTAGGGGAGGGATACCGTAGTGTTTTGTGCGAGATAGGAACAGCGGTGTCCCCCTTATAACAGCCATGGCACCCGCCTTCTAAGAACAGCTGCGTAATCCACATCTCGGAACAGCCACGGGAAAACGTCTGCCTTAGGGGACTCAGGTAGCAACTGTTTTACTATAGAAAACTGATTTTACCGGCTTTAGCAGCTGGTTTACCGGTTTTTTGCCTGAAGTACGCTCGTTTCTTCGGTAAATGTTCGTTTTGTGAAGAAATGTCAAAAGCAAATTTTTTGAAATGCAAATTTCCAGTTCACTAAAAAGTAGAAGTACTGCGCGAGCGGTCGTTTCCAAAAAAACTGCGTTCATTTACATATACGATTGCGGTTAAGGTCCGCGCTGAGAACGAATTTT